AAGCAAATGAACAGCTAAATTTGGGTACTGAGAACCTTGCCGTCTGTCGCGCATTAAGATTTAGTCCATAAAGATTTCGACACAGATGTAGAAACAGGATTCACAACAAAAGTCTTCTATAACTACTACTTCTGCAACCCAAACGAAATATTGCCATAGTCAAATGATTAAATATAAACAGCTTTCGGCATAATTAAACAAAAGAATATTCTGTCACTTAAATTCTTTATGTTACCTATAATCCACCCTTTCGTCCCTGTTGCAGGAAGCGAACAAGGGCAAAGCAAGGGATTACGCAGAAGGGTGAAGTTCAGAGGGGCTTGTTTCTCTATAACCGCTACATGGAGCTAGCAGAAAATGCGTCTTTAGCCCTCAAGCGGTAGGCCAACGAGGCTCTAGTAGATTATTGTAAAATCTTTACTCGTAGTCATAAGCATCCGGTGCTTGGGAAACGGCTGACACTGTTCAGCCGGTCAGTAAAGGAGCTCTTTTTCGTGAAAGCCAATGGCGACTTTGGTTCAGAAGCAAGAACATGCTCGTACTGCAGTAACGGAGCTGCTCTACCGCGCTCTACGTCTTCCTTTTTCCAAAGAGACAGAGTATAACAGAACAATCTTCCAGAGTAAACATGAACTAAAACTACTGTACTAGAGTTTGGTCCGTGGCTTATCAACGTAGTGGCGAGATGACATTCTTTTGAATGACGCAACAGTTCCCCATAGACAACGCGAACATGATAATGATTATGTAGGTTCCCAAATGCAAGTTACTATTTCTGAAATGGGGAATTGCAACTGCACAAGGAGCATAATAAATCAAACTCAGCTTGCCAAATGATGAAAAAATCTCTCTTCCATCATGGTCAATTCACAGTTTACGGATGACTAATTATCGAAACGATGAGGCACCACATCTGCAAGGGATGCATGTTGTCCCTGTATACTGTATCAGCGAAAAGTACAGCCAAAGATTTTGATACTAGGGACGAATGGTGACACCAAAAACTGACTCTGGACTGTTTTTACGAAAAAACCATCGCGAACTCGGGCCCAACAATATCTATCTTGAGCATCCTGACGTCTATTCAGAACACTGTGCAGCTCCAAGAGTCCATGAACAAATCCACACACGATTACGTGGCAACCTAACTAACTGTCGCGTACGAAGCAAGGAGGGAAATTAAACCATACTATTCATAAGAACGCTGCTACCTACGATTAGAAGAAAGTATCCCTTGTTAACTGATATAAACGACAATGCAATATGAACGCTTTTGGCTGACGGTATAGGAATGAACAACGGTATTTCT